CAGTTTACCAACATTCATTGTAACCACCAAAGAAAGTGCTGCAATATACAATATTAGACTCTGGAAATTTTAGATAAAATTATACAAATATTAGATTGTGAACTCATTTAAAAAAAGAAAAATGACTTAAAAAAAAAAAAGAATAAAAGCCAACAGATTTCAGATTGCAATCCTATCTCAGTTTCATAGCAAGAAGCTGCAGTTAGCTCTTCTTACAATAGAAGATGAAAACCACACACACAAACATACATTGATTTATTACACAGCGAAAGAAAGAAAGAGATAACCTTCTAGTCAGGTTTGGTTTGTTATTTGTTATTACCATTACACCAGCAAGACAGAGTGGAGAAGTTGAGTCCTTGAAGTGTGAAGAAGCATATTGAAACTGAAGCAATGAACTTGAACAAGAAGATAGCATAAATGAACATTACCATACCCACATTTCCAGGCTCAGGGAAAAGGAGTGACGTTGGCTCTTGAGGCTTCAACTTTCTTTGCAATCTGGCAGCATTCACCACACCAGCAAACAAGTGGAAGATCCAATTTTTAAGAAAGAACTCCCAGAGAGCCAAAGGCCATTACAAGTTCCACACCGTGTTAAACCCTCTCCAGAATTAATCTAGGTCATCATGATTTTCTTTGCCACCACCATCTGTGTCTCTTTCATCCCCCTGACACCTTGGTTTTGGAGGGCACTTACATAGAGCAGAATTACCACCAAATGCAGAGGCGCACCAAAGACATATAAGGATAAAAAGGGAAATGAAACTACTGTTAAAGCATTGGTGTCTGCCTTGCCCGCTCTCTTAAGAATAGAAGTTAGATAGAATTAAATATATCAACATTCTCTTTTTTCAAGAATGCATCACGTCGTTTGGTTAAAGCAAACATCAAATTAGTATCAGAAGACAAATGCATCCATTTACAGATGCTGTTTGCAGGAAGCATTAATTTGATGCAAAATTGCCAAAACCCATCGAAAATGCTCTAAGAAAACACTTAAACTTCGGTTATAAAGAGCAACCCCTTAAATCAAAAACCTAACGGAATAAATATATATGGAATTGCACAAACAAAATCAAAACCCATTTTATAATACTGTAATTTGCACTTGTTAAAGGCATGAATGCTACACCCAGCACCAAAAATGGTTGCCGTGTGCAAAACAAATGGAAGACAAAAAAAAGCATGGCAGCTACTGGAGTATCCACTTTAGTAATTAGATTCTGTAAAGATTAAAGGAACAAGGAAATAATTCATTATTGTTTTCTAATTACACAATTCACATGAAGCGATTTGCTTGCTGTTTACACTTTACACCTAAAAATAAACTTGAAATATTAAAGAAGAAGAATCTGCAAACACTTGCATCGTTGTTTCCATTGAAATATTAAACTCGAAATAAATAGAAGCAGCACATACCCACCACACAGGCAAAACAAGAGCTCACCTTTGATGCGAACCCAGCAGCCATTTTAACTCAAAAACCTGAAAATGAGTTGAAAAGCAACGAGTTCATTGAAATTATTCACAGAAAACAGAACCGACCATCTATTTAGTTTAGTGATACGCGATTGGAATTTTTGGGATGAAGAAACAGGGCGATTGAGAACTAGAAACTACCTGCTTCATTGGCGACGCGTATCTCTGGCCCTACATCTCTTGACCATTCCCAGAAATTTTGTGAAGAAATACGAAAAAGCTCATTTGGGCAGAGGAACGGAGGAGGTGGGTGAGGATCGCCTGGATGTTTCTAATCCTACCCTACAGCTCTTGACCATTTGATTAATTAAAGATAATATTTTAAAATTAACATAAAAACTATAAATTAGGGTTTACATACACGAACTTTCTGAGTCTCTGTTTCTCTCCAGATTACAGACTTGGTTAAATTACAGAATACAAATCCATATTATTATTATATATCAGTTTCAAGCAAATTATTACAAAATAGACGATTAAAAAAAAAGCGCAAACCATTTTATTT